GAGGTCAGGCTGATAGGTCTGTACTTTCCTGGATCTGTTTTTCCCCCCTTTTTGAAGATGGGAACCACATTAGATTGGGCTTTTGTAATCTCATTTTTCAAAATTTCCCAAGTTTCTTGAGTTGTTTTCCCCTTGAGGATTCTCATCCATGGAATTTTTCCCAAGCTCTTTCTAAGTTTATAGAAATTAGCTCTCTTAAAGTTCAAGACTCTAGTTTCACTTTGTTCTACTACTTGTGTTTGCATAATGTTGAATTCCAATATTGCCCCCAGGGTTCCTGTGGCTTCAACACCTTCTATCACTTCCTCTCTGTTAGTGAGAATTAAGTCCAATATGGCTGATCTCCTTGTTCCCTTCTCTACTTTTGGGAAACAAAGTTGTCTGCTAGGTTTGTTAGGAACCTGTTGGATCTTCGACTTGGTGCAGAGTTTGTTTCCCAGTTGAGGTCAGGGTAGTTAAAATCCACCACTACTATTTGTAGGTGCTTTTATTTATTTATTTATTTTATTTATTTTATTTATTTAGCATATATTGACTCTTGGAATTTGTCAGTATGGTGAGGAGCATTTTTTTCAGCTCTTCTGGCTTTTTGTCCTTTGTAGTTGTTTATTTTGACAGATGGACATAAACAATTCCAGTCAGAACCTATCCTTTCCCTTAATCAATTTTACATATGGACAATATATATACTCCTTAAAATCAAAGATTCTAGGGATAACCAACAGAGTAAGTTTTGTGACAAACAGAAAAGTGCTAGAATGAGCTGCTGCATTAAATTAAGCACTACCTAGTTAAAAAGTCAGTAATTCTTAGTATACCTGGAATAGAGTTACTAGTTCCCAGTATAATTTGCATTGCTGTCCTTACTCGTGTATTAGAGGACTGAATAGCTGAAGAAGGAAAGAAAGCCTATAAATGTTTCATGTGATTAACAATCTTCATTCAGTCCATTAAGTTTTAATTGGTCCATCCATATTGCCTGGAGAAGGCTTTAGGTTACATGTTCAATCTTGTTATAATTTTATGGTGCATTCAAGACTGGCCATTAGTAAAAATATGATTTTTCCCATAATTTTACATTTCCAAAACTTTAATATCTATTAGTTTTTTAAAATGTATATTTCAATATAATATTAAAAGTGTTTTTCAAATGAAAAGCTAAAGAGAATAACGTTAGGAAATCACATCCACATCCTCAATTTACCAGGACACTCTATGGAACTTTACAAGTCTGGAAGCTTAGCTAGTCATAAAAAATAAATGAAGATTATTCAAATGGTATAATTCAGTAAAATGAATAACCACACAAAAGGGAAATTGAGACTGAATAACCCAATCTGATAATGTGACCTTCAATTTATTATAAGACTAATAATCATGGGAGATATCATCCTAGGAAATATATCCATGTTGGTTTGAATATATATATATAGACATCATCTAATGATGGAGGAGAATGTATTTCAGTAAAGTTATTAATTGAATTTAACTCTTTTTTAAATCAGGAACGGGATAGAAGGTTAAAATAATCTGATTACAATTGTAAAATAGATGTTCTTTAATTACAAAAGTAAAGATATAATCCTTTATTTGTTAAATTTCTGGTCTTGCAAATATTTGAATAATAATATGGCTATACTGTGTTTTTCCCCCCTCAGGGGATAACTTTTTGAACATGATCATTTTCTCAAATACATTCTTTACCTGAATTATTTTTAATCTGTTTACATTTGTGTGTGTTTTCTGTAAATTGAAATAATAAAAAAGCAACATTTTGAAATTTGGCATTCTGTCAGTTGTATAATGTATCTCATAATAGGATATCGTATAGTAGAGATTTTTATTAAACCCTTCTATTATTTGAAAAGATAGACAAGGTGCTCTAAGACTAGAGTTTCACTTTTAATATTTTTGGTGGTTATAAAAAATATTTTAAAAATCATGCCCTTGGACCTTAGAGATCAGTGGTTTATTGGGACAAGAGCATTAATGGGGAACAGATTATTGCATTGGATAACAGAACTAGATTGAAAAATTCTTGTGTGTTTAAACAGATGGGATGGAGGGACACTGCCTGTATATTAAACTGTTTCCTTTTAATTTCCAGATTATAGAACAGGGCCTTGTTTTATTCAAGTCAACAATCAGATGTGTCAAGGTCAGCTAGCTGGTATTGTTTGCACGAAGACACTTTGTTGTGCAACTATTGGACGTGCATGGGGCCATCCTTGTGAAATGTGCCCTGCTCAACCTCAACCATGTCGTCGTGGTTTCATTCCAAACATCCGCACTGGAGCATGTCAAGGTGAGCAAAGTACTTTACTAATGTTAAATGTTTTCCTGCTGTGAAATATCTTAGAATAAATTATTCCAGCCAGATGATATTTACTCCTGTTTGTATACTGTTTGTGCAAGTATCAAGTACTTATTAGGTTGCATTATGTCATAATGAAATGAATGTCTTTGGGAAATATACTACAAAGAAAACAAGAAGCAAAAAAGAACTGTATTGTGTATTTGTTAATTAAGACATGAGTTTAATTTCTACATTGAAAGATTGTACAGTTTTCTTGGATATTAATTATTAGGGAGGTTTCAAATGCAAATGATCCATTGCAGGTTCTACCTACGTTTTTGAATTTGAAACAACTTTTTGCATTTGAAATTATCTCAATCATTTTGGATATGCTTAAACTCTATTTTGAATTCCTAAAATTTGAAAACTGGAGCAACTATTTTGAACTTAAAATAGTTTTATTAAATTTTTTAAGAAGTTTGAAATAGAACATTACTACACATTATCAGATTTCCATGTATTAAATAATTCATGTTTCCTTAAGAAGTAAGATAGAGACGCAAATGATGCTAAACTAAAACATGATTCCATAGTGAACATTTACTATGCAACCATAACTCCCTAATTATTATTTTTATATGCATTAACAGGGTTAAAAAGTACAAGACAGATTGCGAGATATCCCTTTGAGGGATATTTTTGGCTATATTTTATTCTAAACATAATAGAAAATACAGGGTAGCACATGGCTGCTTATTTATAAAGTTAACAAATGCTTGCCAGCAATGAAGAATGTTGTCATTTCAAGAAAAAGGCAAATTATAGTAGGATGCCACCTGCTAAGTGCATCATTGATACTATCACAAGATGGCATAATATTTGGCAGATTTAACTAGCAGTGATTAGAATTAGTAGTATGAACATTTATTTATTTATTTATACCCCACCTATATTATTTTTATAAATAACTTGAGTGGTGAATATACCTAACATCCTTCCTCCTTCTATTTTCCCACAACAATCATGTGAGGTGAGTTCAACACAGAGAGAGAGTGACTGGCCCAAAGTGACCCAGCTGGCTTTCATTTCTAAGGCAGGACTAGAGCTCAATTTTTCAGTTTTTAGCCTTTCAGTTTCTACCTGAACACTAGATCAAGCTGACTTGTATATAAAATATTGCAATCATATTATTTTGCTTTATATTTTGACATGATATTTTTAATCTATTCTTTAAGATTGTTACTACTGTACAATTTAACAAACATGAAGCTCATAATAAGAAAAAAGCCCAATTATTTGTGGTTTCTTTTGCATTCTGAATACAGCATTCTTTCATTTTAAAATATTATCATAATAGTATTACAAGGTTAATGATTATTGACCATGTTCAACAAATTGTGAAAGAGAGATGCAAACATCTTTATATCTACATGAACATGTCAGAACAAATGGTAGGGGTGGGTTCCTGTCAGTTTGAACCTCTTCTATAGAAAAGGTTCCACAAATCTACAGTGCCGTTTAGAACCGGTTCCAGCTCCCTCCCTCCACACGTCCAAACACCATCAAGATGAAGAGTAAGAGGAGGAATTCTGGGAGTTGAAGTACACAAGTCTTAAATCTGTCAAGTTTGATATAACTGAAAAGAAATGGCATTATTTCAGCAATATGGGCTATTACAGATTTTATGAAATGAGATTTAAGAATGTACACCAGAATAAATAATAAATAAATAAATAAATAGATAAATAAATAGATAAATAAATAAATAAATAAAACCAACTCAGGAGCAAAGAATACAATCCCTAAAAACTATAAAAGAGAGGAAACAATTCACATTTTAATTAAGGATTTTAATTAAGAATTCAAATTGCATAGAATTATTCTAAATATGATACTGTATTATGAAGCATGATAATAAAGCTTCTAGCTATAACTGAAAGACCTAATCAAACTACCCAAAGAAGCTCAGAAAAAGCTTCTAGCTGTAGGTGAAAGACCTAATCAAACTAACCTACATTTGAAAGAAATACAGAACAGACAAATATAGGTACTGAAGATTTTATGGTTCTGTTTCTAAGAACAGATCCCTATAAACAAGCTAACATAGCGGTCCCCAACCTTTCTGGCTCCACAGACCAGCAGCAGAGATCAGGGCAAAGATTTTGTGCGTGCAACCTAATCCCATGCATGTGCAAATGAAGCTTCACACACTTGCCAACCATTTACATGGCCCAATTTGTTTGTATTTGGCAGTGAACAATCATTAGCCTTCAAACATAGGCTAATTGTCATAGGACAATAATTTGATATCTGTCTTACATTAAATAAAAGTTGTTACAGTGGTGTTGCCAAGGAGTTCAGCTAGTGGAGAAAAAATCAGAATAGCTTTAGTAAAAGGAATTATAGAAAGAGATAACTATACAAAGGGAAATAAATGTGATTTTTCATTTATATTTTCTGGTAATGATTCACAGCTATTGTGAATATATTATTGTGTAAGTCTATCTGATATATCTGCATATATACTTCAGCCCTAGGTTATTTCCTTGTCTAGTAAGATATTTTCTAACTTCAGGTCATAATATAGGAAAACTATTTTTTTTAAAAAATCTTGATCTCTTTTCAGTAGATCAGTCTTAACATAATGCAAGTCACTTGCCTTTCCTCATTTAGAAATTTTTTTTTTATAATTTCATTATAGACTGACTCAACATTTGTTCAATGCAAAAATATTTTTAAGGAGAAAGGGAAACTTAGCATATTTTTGTTTCCTATGAGTACAAGGGATCCTTGTATATTTTACTCTGCTAATCATTGCTCATCTCTGCTTCAAGACCTTAAGTACAATAATTCCTTTTAATTAGTTAATTACTTCATTTCATTCAACTGTGAAACAGCTTCTTGTGAGGGAGTCAGACAGAGACTTCTTTGTAAAGTAATTGTCACTAGATAATTCATATATTTCTGTTTCCACATTACTTTGTTGCTTAAAAACATCTGTAAATTGTTAGTACTAGCTAGTGCTTTCCTGACAGCCTTGGCTAAATTGAACAATAACAGTGGCAGATAAAGAATGTACTTATACTCAGTAACTAAATGTATTAAGTGCCCATTGAAGCATCAGTCCAAAGCAGAACATGATTTAAGAAATGAAAAGGTTATTGGGAATATTGAAATGGTTACAAATACTATGCTTCAGTTAGTATTAAGTAGGGCTGGATTGTATTTTATAGTATTTTAAATACACAAACATCACCTGTTAGCATTTTGTTGTTTAATCCTGTTTCACCATTGATTGCTTCACCTGAAATAGAATGTATTTCAATGATTTTCCATCCAATTAAAACATTCAGTTTGAAGGTGACAGGAAAATTCTGTTCGTGCATTTACTGTTTGGTGTTTATTGATATATGTAAATTGCTAGTTTTTGAATGATAAACAAGTATGCAAGTTTGGAATCATAGAAATTTGCTCATGATTTTATCTTGTTTCCAGTTTGTTGATACATAGAACAACTGAAAGCAATCCAAGAAAATAATGGTCCAAATGGTATTGATACTAGCACACTGTACTATTATATCAACTTTGACAAGATGCACAATATATGCAACTGCACTCATTTTTCAGACACGATAGAGTAAAATTGTGCTGTTCATAGAGGCTCGATGATTGTTAATTATTAAATTACCAATATTGCTCACATTTCTGAAGACCTTAGTAGGAATATTTCCACATATTTTATGGTAAAGATAATGTTTATCAAATCATTACTGTTGGCAACAATTAACTCACTAATTGAAGAGCTATTGAGCTTTTTCAGATAATTCCGTTGTAGACCATTTCTATGTGTAAAATTCTCTTCTTAGAAAGTATATAAATTAATCTACTGTGAAACATATTAAACAGCCTAGACTGTGCACTAAAATGGAAATGTATTAAAATGGTAAGCCTTAAGAAAACAGGATATGAACATGGCTTTGTCTCAGTTTAATCTAAATGATACATTATAGAAACTGAAGTGTTTTAAGTAAATTCAGTAAAACATAAACACATCCTGCAATTATACTAAAAACTAAAGCTTAATATTCATTGCTATGCTACATGTTCCAAACCCTTTTTTTCCACAGGGTACATTCTTTCAGATTGTTGGATCTTTGAAAATATTTCTATATTATTATTTTACATAAGTTTGTTTACTTTAATATTAAAGTATAGTAATTGAGGGAAAGTGAATTGGATCCATCTAAATGTACTATTCAGGATATATGTGCACAGAAATTTAAAACAAATAGCATTTTCTAAAACTAAATAAAAAAGCTTGCAAGGGTAATTTTTTTCTAAGATTTATAGGAATAGTAATAGCAATAGCAATTAGACATATATTGCTTCACAGTGCTTTACAGCCCCCTCTAAGTGGTTTTACAGAGTCAGCATATTACTCCCAACAATCTGGGTTCTCAGGTTGGAATGCTGAGTCAACCTTGAGCCGGTGAGACCCGAATTGCCAAATGGTTGGCAACCGGTGATCAGCAGAAGTCGCCTGCATTGCTGCATTCTAATCACTGCACCACCCCAGCTCTTAGAATCTGGGCAGCATAGTGGCCTAATGGTGAAGATACTCGCCTTCTACTTGGAAGATTGAGAGTTCAATCCTAGGTAGCAGCAGGTATTTCTCTTTTAGGGCACAAAGAAAAAATATCTGCTGCAAACTGCATGATGTCAGGAAAGGCATCTGGCCTATAACTGTTTAGATCCATCCAGTTGCCCAGACTGAGATTACAAGATCATAAAAAGGGAGACATTTTCCATTGACCTTTGAAGAAAATTCTGTATGAGTTCTATATTCTAGTTGTTACCAGTAGAAAAATCCTCTATCTAGAATGTCTTGCAGTCAAATAAAACTTATTTTGAAGAACAATGGAAGATAAATTTTCAGAGTTTATCTTACTTAATTTACAGATATAGATGAATGTCAGGCTATCCCTGGAATCTGTCAGGGGGGAACTTGCATCAATACAGTCGGATCATATGAATGCAAATGCCCTGCTGGTCATAAACAGAATGAAATAACTCAAAAGTGTGAAGGTAAGTAAAATGACTTAAAAAAATAATATACAGTAGTTGGTACCTATATTGCCTTTTGAAAGCATAGATAATGGAAACCCTACAATTTTCATGTCATTTGGAATGACCCCAAATAGCAATTGTGGGATTTCTAATGTTAAATAAAAATAATAAGGAACTTTTAAAATCTTTTAAATGCATATTATGTTCTTTAGACAAAAATGGCATTTGCTTAAAAATACAAATTTGAAAATATAACATTGACATAATTGGAGGCTGAGGTTAAAAAATAATTTTTAAATGGAACTCCCATTTTCAGAGAGTGAGAGAAGAGTGAGAATTATTCAGTCAATAGATGAATATTTATTTTTTCCTTAATGTAACTGATCTCACTCGCAAGTATCCTGTCTACTCCCTTCCTTTCCTGATACGTGCACAAAGCCAGTTCAAACATTGCAAAGGGGCAAAAGTTTTATAGGCCACACCTAGGCAACATGCCAGGTTTAAAATATGACTTTGACATTAATGATCCAGGTTTCTTAAATGGGAGGCCTACAGTTTCAGTTATGTTTTAGCATGCTTAAAATATTTTTTCCTATCAATAATCTGAATAAGTATTGCTATTACATTTTCAAAAGATTGCTAGCTAAAATTCCTTTAAAAAGCACAACATTTACTAAATGTAAAGTTAGTTTACCTAGAAGTACAAAGTCTATTGTACTTCTGTAATGGCATGCAATTGTATATTAGTTTTTATTTTTATTACTGAAAGCTTTTTATTTAGTTACTAGTTATATAGTAGTATTGCAGGAAAATTATAGAACCTTAAAGGATTGCTAATAGTCTCTTACCTTACATTCCATGTACATTTTATAGCAATAGCAATAGCAATAGCAATAGCAGTAGACTTATATACCGCTTCATAGGGCTTTCAGGCCTCTCTAAGCGGTTTACAGAGAGTCAGCATATTGCCCCCAACAATCATCTGGGTCCTCATTTTACCCACCTCGGAAGGATGGAAGGCTGAGTCAACCCTGAGCCGGTGAGATTTGAGCCGCTGACCTGCTGATCTAGCAGTAGCCTGCAGTGCTGCATTTAACCACTGCGCCACCTTGGCTCACGTAATTTACGTAATTTCTTATTGTCATTAATTAAATGACGTAAATTATTTACGTAATTTCTTATTGTCATTAATTAAATAGATGAACACATACATGTGTATACACAAATATATATGTACACACATACACATACTTACAGAGACATGAAAGGCTTGATGTATATTATATATTTAAACAGTTTTATACAAATATTTCAGTAAGCAGTGACTACATAACACTTCATACATTGCCTCTAAGCAATTTATTATTAAATTTCAAGTGACATCAGATCTTCAATCTATTATGTGATCTGAATGTGAAATTTATCTTTTCAGTATTATTCAGATATAACTTCAATTGATTTTAATGTATCCTACTTCTAATAATAATGAAAAGTTTTGTTAGCTTTAAAAATAGGTATAAAAACATCACATACAAAAAGCATTCATAGTTTGCTTCATGGTTTCAATTTAAATATATATATATAATACTAGCTGAATACCTGTGCTCTGCTACGAAACTATGTGAATGGGCTTGATAAATTTGCACTTACAGCTTGAAAATTAATGAGTAGTTACCATCGATCTCTCCTATCCATTTCTCTCCCTCAGGTTTGCTCACAGAATCTCCACCTATCTTATCACCTTCTCTCCCTCAGGCTCCTCTCCAAACTTCCAGCCAGCAGGCCAGATGAGTCACGCGCTGGCCATGCCCATGTCCAAGTTTTCACATTGGGAGGGGGAGTAGAACGTCTAATTCCTTAGCATCAGAGAGTGTTAATAATAATATATAAAATACTAATGCTCTGATGGTCATTTCGAAAAATCCTTTGTTACCAAGCATCTGGAAGACAAGAGGAACATATGTGCCAAATTGCAAGTTTGTAGGCTTTACAGTTCTGTAGATTTCATGATTTCTGCGTGAGTGTTTTCGCGTTTTTATATATATATATATATAAAAACGCGAAAACACTCACGCAGAAATCATGAAATCTAC